AGAGAGGCAGTATTTTGAGTAGGACTTGCTGATGTTAGTAACAGCAAAAGCAGACACAGTTGTACAGTGTTGCCATTTAATGATGTCTTCCACCACCATCCTCTGCACCCCTTTGCCCCAATGGACAGAGCAGATAAGTGTTTTATACTAAAAATTCTCAGTAGAGCTTCATGACTTGTACTCATTATTAAAATAACAGTTCTTTACCATATGTTCCTATGTCTGTGATCAAGTTATAGTGGATTCAAATCTGGTTGGCATTGCTCTGTGCTAACTGTGTAGAGCTTGGATTGAGGAAATCAAAGGGGTTTTTAAAATTTGTTTCAGTAAGTGACTGGAACACTTACTGGAACTACTGTGTCCTAAACTAAGCAGTTCTAAAGGTAAATGTTCTTCACAGAATACTTCAGAAAACCAAGTTTTACATTTTCTGCAAAATTAGAGTGATTATAACTTTCAGCATCCCTAAACGTCACCGAAGCCAAGGAGATGATTACTGCTTAGGCATTAAATCCACGTGTAGCTGTGCATGGCTGTCAAGTTCAAATGTTTGTGTTTCAGAACTGGGTTTGGATTTACCTCTAAAATATTGTGGGGATTAAAGCTAGTACATAGAATCATAGAATGGCTTGGGTTGGAAGGGACCTTAAAGATAATCTAGTTCCAACCCCCCTGGCCATCAGCAGGGACACCTTCCACTAGACCAGGTTGCTCAAAGCCTCATCCAGCCTGGCCTTAAACACTTCCAGGGAGGAGGCAGCCACAACTTCCTTGGGCAACCTCTTCCAGTGTCTCACCACCCTCACAGTGAAAAACTTCTTCCTAATCTAAACCTCCCCTCTTTCAGTTTAAACCCATTTCCCCTTGTTTTGTCACTAACTGCCCTTATGAAAAGTCCCTCCCCAGCTTTCTTGTAGGCCCCCTTCAGGTACTGGGAGGCCGCTATAAGATCTCCCTGGAGCCTTCTCTTTTCCAGGCTGAAAAGTCCCGACTCTCTCAGCCTGTCCTCATAGGAGAGGTGCTCCAGCCCTCAGATCATCCTCGTGGCCTCCTCTGGACTTGTTCTAACTGCTCCAGGTCTCTCTTGCGTTGGGGGCTCCAGAACTGGATGCAGTATTCCAGGTGGGCCTTACGAGAACGGAGTAGAGGGGTTAAACACCAAAATACTTACCCCTTAATAAGTTTTGCATTGATATAATCTAATAGGATAAATATATTATTGGGAAGTTTTCTTAAATTAAAATAGGTAGAAAATAAAACCTTCTGGCTCCAAAGCAGTTTTGGATCTTTCAGGACTTTTTGTCTACATTCAGCCTGCAGTATAGATATTCCCATAGCGATGATTGATGTCAGAGACCATTAGTCTTCTCTTCAGAGTCTTGTGACTGAAATAATATATGCATGTATTTTCTGTAGAAACTCTCATTGTTTCCAAAAAATGAGCAAGTGGCAAGTGGCTGACATGAAGGACTGTATGCCTCTTAAAGAGAGGCAGAAAAAACAGCCTGAGGGAAAGCATTAAAGGGATGTCTGCGCAGCTGTGACTGAGCACACAGTTTTGGATTCATCCGTGGCATGCCTGGAAAGGTAGAAATTTCACATGCATTTTAGACACATTAACTACTAGTTAATCCGTACTGTTAAAGACTTGTACAGCATCTGACAGAGAAGGTAGAACTTAACTTTGAAAGTGGTAGTAGGTTATTTATTTATTTATTTATTTATTTATTTTTAACCTGTGAATGACCATATGAACATTTCTAATCCATTTCAAAGCCAGGTCAAATTTTGTCACTAAAACCATGATACGAGGCAATACATGCACACTTTGGCATAGGTTTGAGAGCAGTGCTACTTAATGATAGTTGGAAAGATGGTGTGCAAAACCAGGCAGAAATTGTATATGTTATATGTGTTTATTTCTTCACTGTAATGCAGTGTGTTTTTTTGGTTTAGGCTATAATTTGAATCTTTCTTATGTGACTTAATTTGGCCCATTGCCAGAACAGAAGCGCATAATCTCTTGTGTTTGTTTATAACCTTTTTTCTTAGATCAAACTTAGTGATATTGTACCTGCAGGATAAACGTGATCACAGAGCTCATGAAAGCTTACTTTTGTGTGTTTCTAAGTTGGCATGAGTGAGAGATGTAGTTGGAAGAAATGATAGTTTAGATTTCTGGAGTCTGTCTGCCCAGACTTGGTTTCCTTTAACCTTGTTGGTCCCCACAGTTCAAACTCTGTTCCCATAAAGTGCGCCCCTTGATCCTCTGTCTTCCCCATGGCTTTCTGTTCCTCAGGCTAAGCCTTTCTTTTCTCTTAGAACTATTTATAAGCTCTTGCCATACCGTGTTGCTCCTGTTTTCTGTGGCTTTTTCTAACACTGTGAGAAATTCAGTGGAATTGGCTTCCTGGCTTCAGTAACCACTTGAAGTCATCAACTTCCTCCAGGTGCTGAGTGAAGTTCATCAGGTTTAATAACCTTCCATTCCTCTGGGGCTACAAAGCATAGTTTGTGCAGTATTGGAGTGTTTCCATGGGATAGTAGGTTGGTTTGCAGGTTGTATATAGACAGATATCTCATTTCATCCTCAAGAATTCAACAGGATTTCATTGCAAATACTGCTACTTTTGGGTGACCCATGCCATTTTCTGCTTTGACATTTAACAAAATTAAAAGATTAGTAAGTGCTTCAATGAATAAGTGAGGATGTAGCAGTGAGGTGACAGCAGTGTGTGCAGTGTGACAGTGGGATTGGTTTGGGTATGAAATCAGCATTAAAAAAAAAAAAAGCCAAACCTGAAATTTTGTGGTACTTGTATCTCCAAAAATTACCTGAGGATGAGATAAAATGGCTTGCTTTGAAAGACCTTATGTTTTTCCTGGTTAAGGAAAGGTATTAACAGCAGTGGAGGGGTAACTTCCTTTTTTTTGCAGTGAAAAATGTAGAATAGCAACCAAAGGTTGGAATCTGAACTCAGACAAATCAGAAGTAGAACATGCTTTTAACTGCTCAGTTGACTATCTGTATCCTAAATTCCCATTTTCCCCCACCTTGTCTGAGATGGGATACATTTATGGATGTAAACTTTACTCAGATAAATACAGATAAATACTAAATATTTACTCAGCATGGATGAAAATGAGTTGGTGTTTTACTGTCCTCTGATATGCAGAATGGTGAGACTGCTGAATGGGTAAGTCCCACTGCCTCTGCTTGAGGCATTGCAGAGCTCCTCATCTCAGCATCTTCTGTTGTAGAACACCCCTGTCCCTCCTGAGATAGCAGCAAGTGTGCTGTCATGTGCTCCACGAAGTGCCTTCTGCAGAGGGGGCTGCAGGGAGCAAGGAAAAAGGATTGGCCTTGGCCAGATGAGGAAGTAGATGTTTCTCTGTGTCCGACTTGTGAGCTGGATGGTAGCTGCCACTGAGTTAATTGATCATGAGATGGTTTCGGTCTCTCAAAATGTTGCACTGATTAACAGCACGTCTCATTAAAACCCACATGCTTGTGAGGGATTATTCAAGTCTTATTAAAAAAATAAGCTTTGCTGCAGACAGACCTTAGTTTTACTGTCATAGTGCTTGTGGTTACATACTTTTGGAAAAGAATAACCTCTATTTTTATTTTTATTTGATTTAGCAGTGGAGTTCTGGGCTCTTTACATAAAGTAACCACATTTTTAAAATTTTCCTGTGAGATTTGCCAGCATTAGCTTTTCATCCTGAAGCTGAAGGAATTGGTGGAAGTTTATGGATGTATTTTCAAGTCCTGCTGCAGGACTAATGTCCCAAAATATGTGCTTTTGAGTTAAGGTGGGAACTGATGTCGGTCAGACTGTGCTAGTGCCTTATACTTAAAGACATCTATACTAAGGAAGATTTCTTTAAAATCTACATATGTATGAAAAATGAAAACAACAAAGTTTGCGGGGGGGGGTTTAGCCTATTTAATGACTAATTAAAGAGATTACAGGTTACTTATTATGTTATTTATTACTTTTATCTTTTACTTTCCATTACGTGCATTGTTATGTTTTTCATGCTTCTATTTTATGGAAGCTTATAAAAATTGTTACTATTTGTGTCACTTTTAATTTTAGCTGTTTCTAAAAACAACAAAAAAATTTGTTTTAAAAGATAGCTAATGTTTCCCATTGCTTTTAGAGTCAGGTCATTAAAATGTTATCCATGCAGTATATGTCAAAGAGAAGTTATGTAATCAGAGCAATTATATTACACTTGAAATAAATACGTACGTTAAATAGAAAAGGAACAGTTGCCACGTAAAAAGCTATAATGTTGATAAACATCTATGAATTTAAACAGTTCCATTAATGGAAGTTGTGTTTCAGTGTAGTGTTTGTACCAAACCTATTAATAATTAATAGTATTGACGTGTATAAATTGTGTATGTGAAAGACTAGCCTTTGGGTTTGTTCTTAAGTGGGGTTTGGGTTTAAGTTCTTAAATGACCTAGGATACTGCAGCCATTGAAAAAATTGTCATGGAGAAAATAATGAACTCAAGATTTGTGCTAACAGAATTTTTTAACTGAGTGCTTCTAGATAAAAAGCCTTGATCAGGTGCAAATAGATGTATTTGATGCTGTAAATCAGGATTTTGTGTCTGTCGGGTCGCCATAGGGGCTTCTTTTTACTTCTGCTGAATTACCAGGAAGGATTGATTAGGTGAGGAAGGTGGGATGGTCGGTAGAAAGTTTACTTGCTCCATATGAAAGTCAAAGTTTGAATTAAATTTCTGCTTTCTGGTTTGTGTTATGTAATACAGAAGAAAAAAATCGCGATTATATATGCACTCAGAAACCTTGTTCTGTGGAGTCTGTGTTTTCCTTCATAACTATGTGCACTTGGGGAAGTGAGACAGCTCATGGCATACGTGAATTGACAGTGTGAAATTTTTGCTGGGTTTGTGATCAGATGAATAAAGATTCTTGGTATGTCTGAATATTAATAATAGTAATTTTCTCCTAGATTCATGCACATATCATCCAGGTGTGCCTGTCTTTCATGATGCTCTCAAGGTAAGTATGCAGCTATCCTTTTAAGTCTTACCTTTTTTTCCATATATGTAAAACAGTCCTTGTCCTTTTTTACTCCAGATCCTTCAATTGTAGAAGCTGATGTCCAGCCTGTCATGTTTGAGCAACTCCATGAAATTAGGAAAGCACATTTACTTTACTCAAACCTGAAGAAGAAATTAAAAACTCTACTCACAGGGTCTAAATGCCACGCAAGTCTGTATGACACGTTTCCTATTGATAGACTTTAGATGTCTCAACAGTTTAATAAGGTCCTCTGAATAGGTCTTTGGAGGCATTGAGAGGTGTCATAGCCTTTCAGTTAATTAACGTTAATTAACCCTCTTGGAATTCAAACCAGCTGCACGTGATCTTATGTGGCTGGAGTGCTAATGTGTATGTGACATTTGCCTGCTGCAAAAAACAATGGTGTTCTGTTGATTGGCCAAATGAGAATGTTGGTTAAGTTGGGACTGGTCACCTGGCCTGTGATGCAGCTGCCCAGGGTTCTTGCTGAGTTAAATATACCTGTGACTGGTCTCCAGTGCTTGGGCCAACTGTGTAGCCCATATTCGTTACATTCACATGTTTTTCTACTTCAGTATTTACTGGATGCATCCGAAGTGCCTACAGGGAATTATCTGAGATGTGACCGCCAAAACAGCGCTGCAGATCCTTGGAACAATTTAATAGCGTGTGGCCAGAAATCTGCTCTCCAGAAATGGCGCCTGGCCCTGTTTGTTGTATTAATGCAGATGTAGCCTAAGTGACTCTTCTTAGGACACCAAACTGCTATTTAGCCGAGCTTTGGGACAAGCATTTTTTCTTTATATTTAGGAACTGCTTCTCCTAGCAGTGTGTTTCAACCCTGTCCCGTAACGTGGTGTCTTTTGGGCTGATGGAAGCTTGTGCGTATGTGCTGGGTAGTGTTTTCTGTGAGCTATTGCTCATGTTGTGGTACGTGACTCTGGAATCAGCCATAAGTGTGCCGCTGGCAAATTGGGACAGATACTGTTAGATCAGATGTGATACAGTTATGTAAACTGTGGCAATTTGTTTGGTACAAAATTATAGTTGTACTTGTGCCACGGTACCTAAAGCTTCTACCTTATTATAAAGAGAGAAATTATACAGTTATCTCAAAAGCTTGTGTTTACTGCCTCTTTCTCTCATACATGCACCATTTTTAAAATAAGCACTGCTTTCCCTTGTCTCCTTATTCCATCTCTTGACCCAATTAAAAATTTATCATAATTTTGTATGAGCAGTTTTCTTCCTGCTATGGATTGTAGATAATCTAAGTGGGCAGGGTGAACCTTTTGTCTCCTCAACAGTGGAAATAGTTAATATTTTGAGGATATTTTAGAACCACCAACCTGAAACACACTGTATCACACTGCTTAAACTCTCAAAGTGGTGGTGCACTTTAGTCAAACTGTTGCCTTTAATAAGGTTCTTCGAGTTCTAAGTGGCAAGGTAATTGTCTCTAAAATTGGACTTCTGATTTACATAATAAAAAGTGCTCTTGGTTGATGTAGTTGGATAGATGGCTCTGCAAGTCAGAATTCATCTTTGTGGTGGGAAATAAGCAGCTGAAAGACTTTACTAGTGCTCAAGGGAATTAAAAATCCTCATCATTTTAGAAACGGGGCCTGTACATTCTGCCACAGGTGTGCCTAATCTCAGGGATAGTACTTGTTTTGCTCACATGTTACTTTATGAAATAAAGCCACATTTCTGTTGGCAACTAACTTGTCATGGAGGTACTGCCTCACATCTACTGAACTTTCTGATTAAGGCAGCGTGACTGAACCAGAAATGGCAGCTGTAACGGGTTTCTCTTGCTTTTAAAAATGCAGATTATGATAATACTGTCCAAAGAAGGGCAGAAAATAATGTCTAACCATGATGTGCTGCATCTTGTAAAGGAATATAATTAGTCTTTTATGTTTTATAAGCTGTTGCCAAGTAAGGTAGTCATGCTTGTTTTCTTTTATTCCAAAATGTTTATAGGGTTGGTCATGTTGTAAGAGAAGAACAACAGATTTTTCAGACTTCTTAAGCATTGTGGTATGTACTCATGATTATTTACAGTTGTTATACTTGTCAGATGACAGTGATAAATATTAAACAGTACATGTGCTTACATGTTTAAAATGTGTGTACTTTTGTTAAAACTGTCTTAAATCTCGCATGCACTATTTTTCTTGATAGAATGTCAAAGCTGAGGCTCATTTTCAAGCTTTATCACAGAATCACAGAATGTTAGGGATTGGGAGGGACCTCGAAAGATAATTAGTTTTAACAAAACCTATTTAGATGCTTGTTAATAATGAAGAAAGGTCAATATTTTTGTTACTTTGCTTGATTACAGAAAGTGTGCATTTTTCTTTAACATATGTCCAAATGAAGGTATTTTCCACTTCAGTTGTAGCATTTCCTTTACAGCCAATGTTTAGAGTGGGCTAAAGGAGAAGATGGGGCTGAAGAAACAAATGAAGAAAACTTGTTGCAGTTTTTAGTAATTTTTGATTACTGAGATTTTAATTGCTGAGAAATTACACTGCACATATTTATATAAACATATGCTTTCCACAATAGGGCTGTACAAAGGGTCTCCATAACAGTGAGAAACCTCCAGAGCCTGTTAAACCAGAAGTCAAAACTACCTCTGAACGAAAGGAGCTAGCTGAACTGAAACCCAAATTTCAAGAGCACATAATTCAGGCGCCAAAACCATTGGAAACAATTAAAAGGCCAAGGTACAGTATATAAGACTAAGTTTTATTTGTGGTCAGTTGTTCAGGTTAAAGCTTCTTTGGTTATTCAGTGTTACACGTTATGTTCATATAGTGTAAAAATTCTCAAATGAACTTCAAAAGAGCTTGTGTTTGGTAGTAGTGATAATATTATCTTCAGCTTCAAAATGAGTTAAAATAATTCTGATTAGGACAAGGTAGTACTGGATCTCTCAGTTTCACAGTAAACAAAAATTACAGTCTAAAGCCTTGTAGCTTAGAATGAAATTAGCAGTTGTGTTTAGTGTTTTAAAGTCACAAAAATAATTTTAGGGTGCTTGTATTTAGATTCCTAAATCTCTCTGATTTATTTTTATTGTTGTAGAGTATTTAGGATTTCCTGTTGAAATTCAAAACTGCCTTCTAAATTTCTAGTCTGTTTTTCCATAAACAGTAAGAATTGGCATTTACAAATCTAGTTTATTTGTTTGTTGTTGTAAGGGAGGTTGAAAAGGAAGAGTTTTATAGCAAGATTAGAAGTTACTACTTTGCTGTCTTTTGTAAATGGTTTTTCATGAAGCTGACATGAATACATGGATTTTTTTTTTTTTAGCCCAGACGAGCCAATGACAAATTTGCAGCTGAAAGTGTCAGCGTCCTTGAAGCAAGCACTAGATAAACTGAGACTGTCATCTGAAAATGAAGAGAAAAAAGGTAAGGATGTAGGGAGGTTAAGTAGGTATATGATGCGAATTGTTACAGAAATAAATGAAATGCTATTTTTTGTTGTTTCTGGAGAGATTATTTCATGTAATTATGTTATTGTTCTTAATAATATGGGAAATACCTTCCAGTCTAGGGAATGATAATCAAAGTTTAAATGTGAACTATGTGGAGACTTGAGTGTTAGGAGCAGTATGTTGCCATTAAAATTATTTGAACGGCCTGTTGTGTAAGATTTCCTGGTTGGAATGGAGATGATGGAAACATCCATTTCTGAATATATGACTGAAAGAGTTTCCCAAGAAATGAACCCTACTATGTTATTGCAAACACAATATCATATAAAGCATTTCACAAACTGGTGAAATACCTCTAAAGACTACTTGGTTCTCCCTTGTCTGTTTTTCCTCTTTTTTTTTTTTCTTCCCAGACTTTATTTGGAATTTTGTTTCAGAACTACACAGCTTCTTCAGAAACGCTTTCCAATTTCAACCTACGTTTGTGGCTGTTCTGTACGTTTTTGTTCATGTGCCAAAACTGTCATTTAGCTCTTCTTTCTACTTGGTATCCAAATTCTTTCCTTGTGTGTGCATATAGACAGCACTTGGAGCATTTTACATTAGTGTTACAAAAGTATACAAGATGGTCTTCCCCTATGATGGTAATAATCCTCTTCGTCAATTTTTTTTTGCCTCACTTAAAACAGTGTCAAGATATAGAACCTAGAATCTGATGCATAGGTAATACAGCTTTTGGAATATTTGCATAAATTCTGTTTCTTCCTACCTTTCTGGCAGACTTCAGTGTCAGAAAATAGAAAACAGCTTGAGAGGTTTTTTTTTCCTAATTACTCCTTAGGATTCTTGATAAAAGCAAAATATTTAGTGCTTTGTTCAATTCAGTTGCTATTTTCTGTGATGCATTTCTCTTTACAGAGGAAGACAGTGATGAAATCAAGGTTGGGACAGCATGTAAAAACGCAGGCTGTTCAAAAGTAAGTGATTCAGTTCCACTCAAACCCAGCTGCTAAACTATTGAGTGCACAGTTTTGTTTTCCTTTCTCAGGTGTTTTTTTTGTATGCTACAAATTGATTTGGAAGTGGCAAAGTCCATCAGGCTTAACAAATACACGTTTAATAACACACTTCAGTGTGGACAGATGTGGACTGTTTTGTACTGTGCATACAGTAAATCTAAGGTCACTTTTGTCTGTCATGAACTTCTAATTAGCAAGCCTGCCAAACCCATGATACTGATGTGTTTCAACTTAAAATGTTAAATATAATATTGAGGAGAAGTGGCTTACTGGTGACACTTGAATTGCTCTTAATAATCTGTCTATGGGTCAGAAACATCTGCATCTTATCAATGAATGCTTCCTGCCAGAAGAAGCCACAGAAAATATTGTAACACTTTTGGCACCACAATTGGTCTTTATATTACGTGGCCATTTAAACTGCCAGTTTTTTACACTAACACCCTTGTGTTGTACCCTTGTGTGATTTGTAGAATGTAGAATTTAAATAGGTAGTTCACTGGACATCTGACAGATTTTACATTTTCTACTGAAACTGGTGGGAGAATTGATAGCAGTCTCTTGTTTGTGTTAGGAACAACTCATATGATATCCAATGGCAGAACTGTATGTTGTTTAGTTTACTTCCTTTTGAGAATCCATGTGCTTTATGTATTATTTATTTTCTGGTTTAAGTACTTTCTCTGAATATTCAGAGTATTTTTAGAGATAGATATCTCTGAGGATGTAAAGTGACCTTTATGAGCTTAGATGATGACACCATTGATGTACTCCATTGAACTAATATAAAGTATAGCTTGTTAGAATGAGTGCCAGGAAACGTTTTGTGAATGAAGGCTGAATGGTTATTTTGAAAAGCTAGAGCAAGCCATTAGATCTAGATTATTTACTCAAAAGCTTTGTAGTACTTTGTTGAATGTTTCTGGGTTGTGTTTTGTTTTGTTTTTTCCTTTGCTCCATATCCTGTAACAGTAATACACTTTAAATGCTTTGTTTTGCCAGACGTACGAAGGGCCACGCAGCACAGAAGAAGTATGTATATACCATTCTGGCGTACCTATATTCCATGAAGGGTTAGTATTCAGTTACCTTCAGTTTTTTGAGCTAGTCTATTATGTGTTCCTGCTTTCTTTGTAGATATTGCCTTGTTTTCATTCAAAAACAGCAATGCTTGAAGAGAGTATACTAAATTAACACTAATACTGTTAGGTCTTAAGTGCTCACAGTAAATAGCATCCTAATTATTGTTTGTTAATTACTTTATGAACTTTCAAGGATGAAGTATTGGAGCTGTTGTAAAAGAAAAACATCTGACTTCAATACATTTTTATCTCAAGAAGGCTGCACAACAGGGACACACGTATGGACTAAAAAGGATGCAGTAAGTAGCATTAATATTGCATTGTGTAGCTGATCATTCTGAATTTTGATTACACAAATGTAGTTAGGAGCTTGATTGAGTTATTACTGTAGTTGAGCTGTTACACATTACTACCTCTGAAATAACGTGGAGGATGTTATGTGTAGCATGACAACAGAGAAATGGAGTTTAAAGTAATCTGGGGTAGAAGTATACTTTATTATGTAACAGTACAAACTATTTTTTTTAGTGATACATATAGTATCACTGTTTTATAGTAAAAGTGGTTTTGGCAAATTCAGGAAAAAAATAGCAGTGTTTTCTGCTTTGTTAGTTAAGAAAGTCTGTGGTATTCCATACAGAATATATTCCATATAGATTCCTTTAAAATAAGTTTATTAGAAGTCCTTCCTCTCCCAAAGACCATGAAGAGAGCAGCTGTACCTGTTCTGTAGCAAGATAACTGTGCTTGCAGTTTCATTCAGAGTAGCTGAGTTGTTATTTAGGTGGGGATGGCAGGACAGATAAGGTTGATGAGGTTCCATGGGTGCGGATGGCAGGGTCCCTTTCTGTCTAATTTGGATTCTCTTTATTTTTCTGTCTGAATATTTTCCTGCTTTGTATCTAATGCAGTGTTTTTGTTTGGCTAGCAGTATAACAAAAGCAAAGACAGGATCTGTTTAGTTTGTAGGTATTTCATTGCAATGTTGGGAACAAATTGCAGAATTATAAGGTGAAAAATATTTACATTCAAGGTTTAAAAAGATTCTTAGAGAATATTATAGAACATAATAATGGAACTGAACACTGAATTAAAAAACATTAGCTGGTCACATGTTGGATACAGGTGAACACAAATTTCTTGTTATGACTATATTGTCTCTTACTGAGGCAAAACGGGTTTGATGCTGCAAACATCAATAACATTTAATGGAAGAAGATAAAAATATATTCTAGACAATGCAGTTCTGTTACCACATTCTGTAACAATTACTTCACCAGTCCTTTATTTTCTTTAAGTTACGGAATTGCTACTTGCTTTGAAGTTTTATGTTTGCATTTAAGAAGTATTTTCAAATACAGAACAAAACAAAACAAAGTTGTGAGCCTAAAGCAGGAGACTATTCTTGTAAAGAATTTACCCAGATGTTTAGAAACCATGTGTATATTAAATGTGTGTGTATTGAGATAACAGACTTCTTCCTAACAAGGGGGTTTTGACTTTTTGTTGTTCTTTTGGGTTTTTTTTCACCAATAATTTTTTCTGCATAAGAGACCAGAGGGTAATATTCAATAATTTATGGAAGATTCTTGGAATCATTTTTCTGTGGTTTTTTGTTTTTTTCAGTTTGTTGGGTTCCTTTCTACTGGTGTGGATAACTGTAGTCTAGGAGAGGAAGTTTCCTAGTAACAAGTAACTTTTTGGTTTGGATGTTTAGGGGTTTTTTGTTTGGTTTGTTGTTGGTTTCGTTTGGGTTTTTTCTATCACAGTGTCTCGGTTTCTTACTGTAGTGTCTGTCATAAGCATTGTTTTTTTCACTTCTAATGTTTGTCAGGGACCAGTAGCTGAAATATCTAGTAAAAATAGATGTAAGTGGAGTCTTCCATTCTCCTGTGAATATGAAATATAGTCCTTTATTAGCTATTCTTTTTGGCTATTAAATAGTCTTGGGTTTTTATACTGATTAATCTTATAAAAATACTCCTGAATGCAATTTTAAGTCTTTTTCCTGTACCTTTTTCCTTGTATAGGGTAAGAAAGTAGTTCCATGCAGGCATGACTGGCACCAGACTGGAGGAGAAGTGACTATTTCTGTATATGCTAAAAACTCTGTTCCTGATCTCAGCTATGTAGAAGCAAATAGCACAATGGTGAGTATCTACCTTAAGATGCAATTCTTTTTCATTGATTCTTAGAGCAGCTTGAAGTTAGGAAAATCTGATGTCAGCTTTATTTACAAGACAGAGGTAGCGTAAGAATCTTTTCTGCACTTTAATGGTTTTGGTTTGGTTTTGGTTTTGTTTTTTTTTTTAAATCTGCAATATAATATGTCAAAAAAAAAAAAGACTTTGGCAATTAAAGCCCGAGTGTGATGGATTTGCATCACCATATGTGTAGATAATTATAGATTCATAATTTAATTGTATTTGGCTTAATGTAATTTAATATTGTTCCTCACAATATGCAGTTTCACAGCTACTAATATTAAGCAAGTGTTAAAATGCTTCTCTGATTTCTTAATCACACATTTTGAGAATGATAAAGCTTCCAGGATGTATATATGGCCACTATCAACTACGATACTGTATCAGAATCTGTTAGAATAGATCTTTACTTCTATGTCTGAGGGACAATTTGATCACTTTGGTCATTGTAAGATCTGAGCCTTAATGTGATATATTTTGCTTAAACCTACTTGTGTAAAATATTTTATTAGCCTGACAAAATTTTCTGTTGTTTTTCCTGTTCAGTTAAATATCCATATTGTATTTGAAGGAGAAAAGGAATTTCATCACAGTGTGAAATTATGGGGAGTAAGTATAATTTTTCTATTTCAAAAAAACCCAAAACACAGCACAACAGAAACCCTCCACTTCCTCTCTTTCAAAATATTTTGTTTTTCCTCATTACTCTGCGTATTGAAAGAAATTCAGTTGCATGCCATTCAGTAATTACATTTAAATCTGAATCTAGTGCCCCAAGTGATCAGGTATGACATCGTAGTTGATGCTGCTTTGAGGAGAAGGTCTCCTCCTGAGGTCCTTTCTGATCCCAACACCATGACAGTGGTGTTGCAGAAAGCCCTTGACACTATGTAGTTGCATCCTTACGTATGTGTATGTTATATATGCGTAGGCATATGTTCATAGCTTGGGAATGGGAGAAACTGACTTTCCTAGATAACAGAGGGAAGTCCATTTACCTAAACATCTGCTGAAGTTCAGTGATAAGCTACTCTTCCTGACTTAATTTCCAAATATCTATCTAGCAGTCTGTTTCTTAACCTGAAGTGTGAAATATGTTTTCTGTTCTAGGTCATTGATGTAAAGAGGAGTTACGTGAACATGACGGCTACAAAGATTGAGCTTACTATGAGAAAAGCAGAGCCCCTATTATGGGCAAGTCTTGAATTACCAGTATCCAACACACAACAAAAAAAAGATAATTCAGATCAATAATGATTCCAAGAGACAAGTTATTTCCCATCATGAAGTGGTGACTTGCTACTGTAATCAAATATTTAACTTTTATATTGATTAATTTTTTTTTTATGCTAGATCGTATGTTCCATTCTACAAAGAAATTTGACGCACAGTAAAAGGGGGTGTAAACTTGAAGGGTAACAGCTATTTCTGCTCTTGCTCCCATGAGTATATTTATTCTAATTGGAGTGTCTCCATGGGGATTTAGAGTAAAAGAGCTGTTAACCCTTTGCTTACAACCTTACCTACCATGCACTGACTATCCAAACAGATGTGTTCTCAGTCCACTATGTGTTAATTTTTTAACTGTTCGGTTTAGGCTGGTTCTACTGGGTAGCACATGTTGAATTCAGCACTGTTACTAAGAAGCATACAGTAATCCAGGTACAAAAATCTTGAGTTTATGAAGTGATTAGCATGCAATTCGACACTAGAATAAAAAGGTGTCTAAACATAAATATGAAAGAACACATGTAGACTTGCATTTTTGTCTTCTGAAATTAAGATTTGTTTCAATACGTGTTGGCTCTGGAGGGATGGAATAAATGGTATTTTGCTATGGATTTCAGTACTTGCTGACTCATTTGCTGTCTTTCACGTGTCTAAGCAGGAGGTCAGATTAAAATAAAATCAAAGTTGACAAGAGGGGATTTTAATTTTTTTTTTTTTTACTCCTGTACCTTTTCTGTTTGAATTGTTAAATGTAAAAGTGAATGAAGAATGAAATGGCTGAATAACTTAGTATCTCAGCTGTGGAGAATATACAAACAGCAGACTATTGTAAAATTACCAAGGTGCTGTATATATTTGACAGTCTTTAGAATGAATATTCTGTCTTATTTTACAACATTCAAAATTATGTATCTTCCAAATAGGTGGATATGTGTAGTAGGAGAAGCCAGTACACACTGTAGGTGTCTCAGGAAAATTATTTCCATGTAGATATGCATAGCTCTTGTTTCTGAGGATGGTAGTCTAAGAACTAAATTTATCTAATGGACAAATCTTAGGAGAAACAAACAACAAGCTTTAAAATATCTGCCTCAAATCAGAATTGTACCTCTGAATTATTTTTTTTAATATTATTTCTTTTGAACAGCATAAGCAAAACACTGTCATTAAAAATCAAGACCTTATTTTTGTTTTCAGTTCTCCATCAGTAAAGATTAGTGGCTGAAAACAGGATAGTTTTAAAGATGAGACTTTTATCCAAGCAGCAACTCATGGAGCAATGTTGCTTTCCCTTTCTGTTTGGAACAATTTCTTAATTTTGGATTGCAGCTGAAAGAAAACCAATGTTTTCATATATGTCATGCAAAATTTACACCACCATTTATTCTGCTAAAACTTATATATGTAAACACAGAGTCCTGTGGACTGTTGAAATGTGTGAAGGCTCATCCACCTACCTTGGCAGAGCTGGAATAATGCCAAGAGACACGTGGCACATAGAAAAGGCTTTCTGAAGTGAAATACGGATTTCCAAGAATCTTACTGTTTTCCTGCAAGTATAGTGTGACTTGAGCTGAGAGTTCTGTCTCCAGCAGTACTTGAAATCCCGCTTCATGGTTAAAGTAGGAGGAAATGTTTTACCAAAGAAACCATCCCCAAACACCCAGAAAGTCACACCAGTACTGTATATATGAAATTTGTTTTGGTGCTTCTTTTCCTTCATTTCAGGATCCTGTTTCCTCATTGACTTGAGGCAGAGTGGTTGCTTACTCCCTTGGGCCCCTATTAAAAGTTCCAGTTCTAAGTTCTGTCTAAAAGATTCTATTAACCTCTAATAAT